TATTATATATATATATATATATATATATACACACACACACACGTAATTATACCATATAATAGGGCGGCACAGCGGTTAATTATATATATGCGTCATTCAAGGTCGATATATATTGCCAAGTCTCCACTAATTATGAGTTGCACGGAATATTGGACTTGCAGCGGTACTCAAAGTGAAAATCGGACTCACATCCTTCAAACATAACTGAGTATTGTTCCTTTTTATTCTTTTGGCCTACCCCATAATTTCTAAAAGAAAAAAGGGATAAGAGACAACATGATAGCACCAATAACTCTCATTATTATATTAAAAAAAGAAAAAAGAGAGGAGAGAAAGAGGTACTATATATATATATATATATATATATATATGTTAATACACAAAACTTAGTATAATTTATATTGAAAGTGTTTGAGATGGGGACAAGAAAAGAACGTTTTATGTACTGCATATATATATTTGGAGAATGAATTCATCAAGAAGAAGAAGATTCTGTATTGACTTGAGCACCTTATAAGTTAGAATCTTTGGAAATTAAAAAAAAAAAAAAAAAAAAAAAAAAAAAAAAAAAAAAAAAACTAATGTTGGGAAAAAGAGATGCTCTTGCTTGGGAGATTATTTAGAGGAAAAGGAATGGAATAAGGAACACATTCCATTTTGTCTCCTTTGGTAAGTTTGGCACTTATTCAGATAGTATATTGATATTTATAACAATATTATAGAAAAGAAGAAGATTATGATAAGAAAAATAAAAAGTCTTCTAATTAAATTTTTCATCAATTGGCATAAGACAGCCGGCGGCATGTATATACATACATATATATATACATATATATATATATATAAGTACGTATTTTATGATGTGGCCCCTCACCCACGAATCCTAACAAATGGGGGACCTAAAAGAAAGAAAGAAAGAAAGAAAGAAGACAAATATGCAAAAAAGCAAAAGCTAGAGCTGGGGATTGTACTTGCTTGTATACTTGCATAATTTGTTCAAAGACACCCAAAGGCCAAGGACCACTTGTGTTGCCTTGCTCTTGACTTATCCTTCTTTTTGGCTTTCTAGATTCTATGTCATCTATATTCATTATCGTCTATTCTTCTCATTCACATATATGATATATACATATACATATATATATATATGTATGTATATATGTACATATATTCAGAAAGCTTCTCCTTGTTATAATTTTCTACATTAATGTATAAGCCAGCTTATCAGTATATGTTGGATATATGTAGTCATTATAACTAAACACGAGTACATATTATAAATATGCTTAATGAACTCATGCATGCATAATATATGCAGAATTAAGCAGTGAAACTGTTTCCGATCAAATTCATCAATATGAGAGATAAAGCTGACTTTAATTATGAATGTGTAAAAGATGATCTTTTCTTATCTCTCTCTGTCTCTATATAACAAATTAACACACAAACATATATACACCATTAACGTACTAAATTTCGTAGAGAATCTGATTTTGTTATTCAAAATTTGCGTTTGTAAGCTACATATAAGCATGTGTCAACTGCACGCTAATTATTCTTATGCTGCATATATGTTCTTATAGTTTCATTTTTTTTATTAAAAAAAATTGTCTATATCAATCTAACTGGGTGGAATGCAGCAGGTGGTGAATTGCTGTTTATTGATCAATCCAAAGAATATTAATTGGAACTACATATAGATATATACATGTAGTGTGTACTGTCTGTGTGTGTGTATGTATAGGATTAGGTCATCAACAGATATTGCGGAATAAATTCATATATATAGGCTACAGAGAGGATATAATTAATTAGAATATGATTAGATTAACCTGCATATTGGTAGAGCATCAATACTTGAGAAGAATGAGAACAGACACATATATATGATCTAGATATGTATGCATATTGGTGGAGATACCCGTTTTAATATAGGTTCCCAAGAGATCATGTTTATAATGATTTATATATGCCAAAAAAATAACTCATGTTGATTAATGTAAAAGAAGAAAAAAAGGATGATACACAAATATATGTATAGATCAGAAAAGGAGAGAATAATTCATGAGTTAGCTACAAATTAAGCTAGCAAATTAACTGATAAATATATATATACATGTGATACATATGTTGAGATCTATATATAAATATATACATATATATATGTGTGTGTGTGTGTGTGTGTGTGTGTGTGTGTGTGTGTGAAAGTAATTTAATTGGGTTTGGGATCGATGTCTATATACATACATACATACATGCATATATATATGTAAGTCCCTTTTGGAGTAAAATCAAAGTGATTCTGATTTGAGGGAATATTATATGCAGTTTGAGAGAATCTAAAGATGAAAGACTTTAGGAAAAGTTGTTATAAGATAGCAGCAATAAAAAAGGCAGAATTCATTCCAAAACAGTTCTAGCTCGGCCTTGGCCTTAGCATGTGGAGTGTGGACCAGAATAAATATCTCTGTGCTCTGCCAGAGGCCAGAATGGGAGCTCAGCCCCTTTATACTTTGTACCCTCCCCAGTTACATGTACCTTGCAATTAACATCACCAATTCTTCCAAAAGAATCCGAATATATATATGTATATGTATGTATGTATATATATATATAGACACACATACATATGTAGATGTGTATAAAAAATTGACCACTACATGCGACATGCAGTTCAATGCAAGAGTTAATTATTCTAATATTCAACACACTAGCTAGCTAGTTGATCATGATCTGCTATTTTCTTTAATTTTATTGAATTTCCCCAACAAAAAAATAATAATAATCAGGCTATTTGGAAGTGACCAGAAAACATATGTTTAAGGAAAAAAAATCATGTTAATATATATTTAGATACAATGATAAATGATAATGATAAAAAAACCAGTTTCAAAGTACCAGAATGACGTTTTTGAAAACGTTAAGGACCAAATGATCATGTATCGGAATGTTTAGCTTTTCCCTGATGTTGTCAACACAATATTGCTCCAGTCCTTATAATTATAATGTGCTTTTGTACTGTTTGTACAGTACAAAGAGAATATTTCAAAAAGAAAATATAGCTTTCCACTACACATACATCATGCATATTAATATAACTCATACATATATATACACATATATAGATGAATATCTAACTGTTAACACACACATATATAATCTTCTCTGGATGAAGCTATTCCTTGCTTTATACCACAGATGGAGCATAATATATCTATACATATATGTGATATTGTTCTTCATTGTACTTGCATTTTCCTTTTATGGTTTTCTTTAATGTTAAATATAATGCAGTTTGGAGGACAAGAAGAGGCCCTAAAAGTAGTACAAATTCTGAAATTCATATTCTATCTTTTTTTTTTTCAAAAAAAAAAAAAAGAGAAGAAGAATCATAAGAAGGACCGGTCAATCATAAGGCAATAAAAACACACGTGTAAGTTGGGAGTTGGCTGATCAGTTTTGTTTTGGTAACTTAATGTTGACCACAGAATTAATTATAGTTGGCTGGCATTGGCCAAATTATGTATATGTATACTTAGCACAAAGAAAGTGAGAAATGACCACGGAATGCTATTCCATAAAAAAAAAAAAAGGTGGTTTTGTTAAGATTCTATTTATTGGAATGAGAATAATAATATTGTTAGGAATCTTAACTCAAACAAGAGCCAATAAGTCATATTCTCAAGTCAAGAATTTGGGGTTATTCTTTCTCCTCTCCTCTCCTCTCAAAGCCACAAAAAATGGGTTCCAAGTTCCCTCCTTTAGTTAATTTAGTTAGATGCTCTTCAACATTAACTAATATTAATTATCATGCATGACACTAATTAATCCCCCTTTTTATTTTTTGCCCCCCTGATCAGAAGTGAGAATATTAATTGTCACTGTTTGAGATATCATGCAGTACTTTCGGTTTTAATGTCCGTGGATGATCTCTACATCAACTGTTTAGGAATTAATCATAACTGTTGATGTATGCACGACTTTTTGTCGCGTTGTTGTCTACCCATTTAAGGATATACATATAATTAGCTGAATATTTTTTAATTTTTCATTTCAAACTACGTACAATATAATTCTTTTTAGAAAATTGTACAGAAAAGGCAATATATGTCTATCTTTAATTGGATATATATATTTTAACAAAACTAGTACAAACAATATTCTGTTATAAACAGCGAAAATGTGTTTCAATTTGGTAACTAAAAGATCCAACTTATAGGAGTAAAGAGAAAGCTATCTTCCCAAAATATCGTTCTCGTGTGTCTTTCCCTTTTATTTTTTATTTTTTTATTTTTTTGGGTAATAAGGAAATGTTATTTC